TCCAAGGCGAGTAGTAGCCATGGACACGGTGGAAACAAGCTCCAGAAACAGATCTCACCATCAGAGTCTTTCAACCTCAAGTCTTTCAGACATGTTTCGCCTCATACAAACCCATCCTCACCACACTCTCCCCAAACCAACACACCCACACCCAACCCCAACCCCAACCCTTCCAAATCGACACTCTCCCCCAATCTAGGAATCCCCGTCCCCCGCCCCCGCAACACATCCACCTCTGACCCCTCTCAGCGCATCTCCGTCGCCGCCTTCCGCGAGGCCCAGGCGCGGCGCAGCACCGCCGGCTCGCCTGTCCCTTCGTTGCGCGCACCAAGCCCGAGTCCAGTGCCCCTCTATGCCAACCCACACCCACGCCCGGGCCAACCCCACACACAGTCGGCCCCTGCCGTCCCACAGCAGCAGGCGAGGAGGCGGTCCTCCGCACTTGCGTATGCTGATTCCGATTCTGCTGAAGAGGAGAGGAGCGTGTATTCACAGTCTCAGGAGGAGGAGGAGGAGGAAGGGGAGGCAACGATTCGGGCAAGGGGCGGGAGGGCGATCACGAAGAATCAGAGGGGGACCAAATCGGAGGTTGGGCATGCGCATCAAGGGTATGGGAGACAACCACAGAAGTACCCCGCGAGCCCGGTGGAAGAGCAGGGTCAAGGGAGAGCGAACTCGAGTTTGGGGTTCAATCGGACGCGAGCGAGCGCGTCAACGAGTGCACTGACGCCGAGTGCGGCGGCGAAGAGGGCCAGTGTGCTTGCTAATGTTAATGGGAATGGTATGTGCTTTCCTTTCGCTTTTTGTTCGTTTTTTTTTCTGTTCGTTTCTGTCTTCTTTTTTCGACTTTTCTCATAGATTCAGCTCTCTCCTCGTGCCATTTCTTCGTTTCATTCCCCTCTCCTCTCTCGGTTAGCGTATATTCATCTCCATCTTCCTTCATTTTCATCTCTTCCATTTCATGTATCTCCTCCACCATTGCTTCCATTTCATGCATCGCCTCCATCGAGTCCGTTTCTTCTATGCTATCCAACCCAATCTCACCATCATGATCTCTCTCCTCTATTTTGTTTGTTCGTTTCCTTCCCTCCCTCTCCTTTTCTCCCCTCTTTTTTCGGAATGATTTTCCTCAGTCGCGTTCTTCCCTCCTCCATTTTTCGCTTTTCGCTTTTCGCATATCTATCCATCTCCACTCAATATTTCGACATTTTTCCCACTCTTCGCATTTTTCTGTTCCCACATATTCATTCATCTCATATTCATCTTATCCAACCAATCTGACGTCCAATCCCACAGCCTCTTCAAACACCAAGCGCCACTCCCGCTCCACATCCGACCACTCCCTCCCCTCACCCATATCACCTCTACCGCTCTCCGCCCCCGTCCCGCGCCTCCCTGCCTCCTCTTCCCCTTCCTCCTATCATCCCACCCCTGTACCTATCAATACCACCAGCACGTACCCTTCTTCACGCCCCCCACCCACCTCAAAAAACTCAGACTCAGAAGACTCGGACTCAGAAGACGACGACGCCCCCCTCGCGACGCTCGTCCCCCCGCGCCGCCCCGGCTCCGCGCTCTCTACACTCTCTTCCAACTCGAATTCCCAGCTCAGGCAGAAGCCGCTGATTGATATTAATGAGCTGGCCAGGGGGCGGCCGGGGGTCGGTGCATATGGTAGTGGTGGTGCGTCTCCTACTACTGTAGGAGCAAAGGGGAAGGAGACGGACTTGGCGTTCGTGGGGGGCTTGCTTCAGGGCGGGAGGGTTAAGACGAGCGTTAGTCCACCTAGGAAGTTCGTCAGTCCACCGTCTAGCCCGAAGAGGGCTACTGCTGTTTCTGCTCCTGTTGTTTCGATTTCTCCTCCTCGTGCTATTCCGTCTGGTGGTCGGGCGTCGTCGCCTAGTTTGTTTACGAAAGAGGAGAAGGGGGAAGGGGGGAGGGATGTGTTTGGAGAGAGATTGGCGAGAGTCGTGCAGCTGAAGACGGGTTCGACAACTACTGGGAGTGCAAGTGGGGGGAGCGCGAGTATTGGGTCCATGTCTGTTGGCTCCGGGACTGGATCGAGTCATTCGAATTCGGGTGGGGGACAGCAAAGGCAGGTGCCAGGGAGGTCTATGACTGCGCCTGTTCCTGTGCCCGTGAATAATCATTTCGCCACCAACACCTCCGCTAGCACTGCAACCGCGTCCATCTTCTCCAACACCAGCACCAGCACCAGCACCAACACCGCCTCGCCCTCCCATTCTCCCACCAAGCCGAGACCCACGAAAGCATCTACGCTCCCCACGCCCCAGCCTGCAAACCACAGCCCGCCCGACCTCGACCTCGCTGCTATGCTCGGCGCGGGCGTGCATCTTATACATCGCACGGGGGATTCTGATTCCGAGGAGGAAGAGGAGTTTTCATCCTCTTCTGACGAGGATGGGGATGGGGCATTTGAGAATGTGAACGGAAGCGGGAGGAAGAAGGGAGGACATGGGGAGGAGACAAGGACGAAGCCGATCGCGCCGATACCGATTAAGCAGCGTGCGCCGCCGGCTGCGTTTAGCGTTACGTCGAGGCCGCCGTTGAATAGGGATCGGACGGGGAGCGTGGATGTGGGCGCGGGGAGGGAGGTGGAGGTGGAGAAGAAGGATGTGTTTAGTTCGCGTTCGGATGGGAGACAGCAGCAGCAGCAGCAGAGGCAGAGGAGCAGTACGCTCGTCCCCTCGAGTTCGGGGGCGGGGACGGTGGGGATCTTGATTCCTCCTCCTGCGAAGGAGAAGGAGGGCAGGGATCACTTCAATAAGGAGAGGGCGCATACGAGGGAACGCACGACCCCGCCTGCAACGATGCGCCAGCGCAGCAGCACGCTCCTCCCTGGGTCCGTCTCGACATCGTCGCTCTCGCCCATCCCGAGTAGCAGCGCCAGCGCAGTCAGTGGTAGTTCCACCAGAGGCGGGCTCAACCTGAACAACATTAACATGTCCCTCGCTTCGGCCTCTTCATCATCCTCCCCTTCTAACCCCACCAGCCCCACCCCCACCGCTCATGTGAATCCCAGCATGAACATGATGCCCAGCCGGCCGTTCGCGCGGTGGGAGAGCCCCGCGGGCAGCTCGACGGGCGACTCGAGCAGCGGGCGCGCCCCGGTGACGCCCCGGGACGGGAGCGATCTTGGTGTTGGGTCTGGGGGATCGGGTGTTGGGGAGTTGCAGGAGGAGGAGGGGAGGGGGAAGAAGCATATTAAGAGGAGGAGTGTGAGCTTTGAAGAGGATTTGAGGGGAGGGGAGGGCCAGGTTGGGGGTGTTGGGAGGGGGAGGGGTGTTGGTGTTGGTGTTGGTGCTGGTAGGAGGGGGGGTGTTGGTGCAGGTGCAAGTGCAGGTGGGAATGGCCATGAGGGCGGAGAGGAGAGGAGGAAGGAAAGGCGGAGGAGCGAGGCCAAGGCTGCTATTGAGGTATGTGTCGTCTTATGTTTTTACCTTTTTTCATTGTGGTGTGGGAAGTCGTGGCTGATAATATATTTTACTCTCGTAGCTTGGCAACGTCATCAATGGACGCGGGCCAGTCGTGGACGACGACGATGGCGACGACGACATCCCTATCAACCAATCAATGGCCAACTCAGCCCAGGCGCGCATCTCCACGCTCAATCCTATGATGGGCTTCCCCTCCCCCCAATGGAACATGGGCATGAATATGAATATGAACATGATGAACCCCATGATGTCGAGCCCCGGCATGCTCTCCCCCGCGCAATTCATGCCTCCAGGCCCCACCTCCGCGGACCCAGGCTACATCGCAGCGCACCAGCAGGCGATGATGTACGCGAAGCAGGCGTACCAGATGGCGGTGGCGCAGCAGGCGATGGCGGCTGCGGGCGACGAGTGGGAGCGTGGGTCGACGTACGGCGGTGGCGGAGGGGCCGCGAGCGTGTATGGCGGGACGAGCCCATCTGTCGTCGGGGCGCCGTTTGCGATGTCGCCGATGATGGGGGGCGGTATGAATATGGGCATGGGCATGGGCATGATGGGGATGCAGGGGATGGGAATGGGGGGAAACGGGTGGTCCACCGGCTCTGTTGTGTTCCAGAACCCGGGCCCTGCGCGGTCGATGTATGGTGGTGGCGGGGCGAGGAGTGAGTATGGGGGTGGAGGTGGGGGAGGACAGTGGAGCTCGTCGAAGAGCAGCTATGGAGATTATGGGGCTTCGAATCGGAATAGCAAGATGATGGGAGGAGGACGGGGGAGGGATTCGGGTCATTTCCCCTCCATGCCGCCTATGCCGCAGCAGAGTGGCGCGGCGTCAGTGAGGGGAGGGTCGGGGATGCCTAGGGCACGTACGGCGAGTCAGCCGGCGAATCCGAGCCCGAGTAAGGGTGGCAGGAAGGCGCCGCCATCGAGTTGGAAAGCGGCTGGTGGTGCATGAGTCGTGCCATGGAGTTTTGGTTTTCGATTTTATTTTGTCTGCTATGACTCATCCTCGCTTTCTACATCTGTCTCTGTCTCTGTCCCCCTCTCTTTTTTATCGCTTACTCGCTTTTTACAGCGCTTTCGCAGTGCCTGCTGCGTAGACAAGCCCAACTTGGGAACTACATCGGATACTCAAGTACCGAGCACTCTCCTTTCCTTTCTTTCTTTCTCTATTTTCTCTCAAGACAACACAAAACATTCTTTTATCATATCCAGCACTTTTTGGACATACGTACACCTAATAACTTCAATGTACTTTCTGCATACTTCATACTCACGCATGATACCTTCATAACATTTCCTTCTTGTGATCAATTGAAATTGAACTTGTATGTACTGGATACAAACCGCTGGTCAATATTTTGCCCTGGACCTTGTACGCTCGCAACTTGCCCCAAACACCACCCCTCACGCATGTCGGCTACCCAAATGGCACAGACGAACCAGAGGAATTCGGCTCTGGCCCCTCCCATCTTTTTGAGTTGGGTACATTCCGAAGTCCCACCGCACGCCACGCCACAGAGTTAACGATATCCAGAGCAGCCAGCATCGGGTATGGTGTAACGGCTAACATTGCCGCCTCTCACCTGGAGGGCATCGCGGCAGCTCGGGGTTCGATTCCCCGTACCCGAATGAGGGAGTCATATATATAGTTTTTGGCGTCGTTTGTCATAATGTTCTATGTAGTAAAAATGGTCCGAATCATTGGCCAGGACTTTCAATCTTACTTTCCATTCTGTTCCTGCTATTCAACTGCTCAGCACCCAGGCATATATGTATCGAGTCTACATAAGCCTGCTAGCTAGTACAGTCACCTTATGCATTGCCGCCCTCCTGACATGCAGGGATTGCCAGCGTGTTTCACAGTAGCAGCTCGGGGTTCGATCCTCCATACCCGTATACCGTAGCCGAGTACCAAGTTGTTTTTTGTCGACTCATTGAGTTGTTCAAAGAACGCCGGCGAAGCTGCCTGGTAGCCAATACACGACTGTTGAGTGACTCAGAAGTAAAGTTATTTATTTAACAGCTGGAAATGTCTATAAGTAAGTATGAGAGAGCGAAAGATCACTGTTTGCATCAATCATGAATTTTCAATGAAACCCTGCTTTGTGGTTACACCCCGTGATTCTGATCAGGGACCGCGTAATCCGCCACCGCCAATACCGTTCCACTCTTACTACATAACATCTTTTTTCTAGTCGTTCTCTCGACTCTACGCCACATACTAGTTAATAACCTTGAGCCCAATCAATACCAACACAGCACGATGTCCGAGGACGCCCTAACCCCCGAGATCCAGATTAACGTCAAAGGTGCGTTACTCCTGGCTATCAAGAGGTACCCTGAGCTGAGCCGATGATGGTCTGTGCAGGCCCGAGAGAGCTGAAGCTGCAGATTACGATAACAACGGATAAGAGTGTGAAGGAGCTTAAGGAGGCGATTGCAGCTCAGTCGGACGTCGAGGCGTCGAGGCAGAGGTTGATTTATTCAGGTGCGTTTCCAGCAGTTGTATTCCTCGCTATAACGTATTGATAAGACACACTGTAGGTCGCGTTCTCAAGGTACTCGAATTGCACAACTCATTATGGCAAGGGCCACACTAAACAACATGTAGGATGACGACCCACTCACAACGTACAAGGTCCAATCTGGGCATACTATCCACATGGTGAAAGGTGCAGAACCCTCCATCGCTGCGTCCTCAAGTACCGGCAGCACGACCTCAGGATCGACGACCGAACAGAGACAGCAGCTACCAACGATGCAGACAGGCCAGCTCCCAAGCGACCCGCTCACACAACTCAACGGACACCGCGGGTTCGGCGCGCTGGCGGGCGTCAACCCCTTCGCTGATATGGGGCTCAACCCAAACGATCCTAATATGGTATGTTTTATTTGTTTACCCCACCCCCGAGCGGAGGGAAGCTGACGACCACCCCGCGTAGATGCAAGGCATGCTCAACAACCCGGCGTTCTTGCAGCAGATGTCGGCGATGATGTCGAACCCCGAGGTTATTGATCAGATCATAGCGACTTCGCCGCAATTGGCGGGGAATCCAGAGCATGCCAGGCAGATGTTGAATAGCCCAATTATGAGGGGGATTCTGTGAGTCCGACTTTCGTTTTTTTTTTTCGTTTTTCTCTTTCTTTCTTCGTTTGTCCGGTGTTCTTGACTACACTTCTGTCTCTGCCTTTGCTATCCCGCTCCTCTGCTCCATAAACTCACTACCCCCCCCCCTACCCCAGATCTGATCCCCAAGCACTTCAACAAATGCTCCAAATGTCTGCCAACATGCAGGGCGGTGGAAACCCTTTCGGCATGCCCGGTATGGGCGCTGGTGGAGGGTTCCCAGCCCCCGGTATGCCCGGTGGTGCACCTGCGCCCACCCCAGCAGCATCGAACCAGAACGCCAACCAGAACGCCAATGCGAATCCGTTCCTCTGGGGTATGGGCGCGCCAAACCCTGTCGCGCCGGGGGCAGGAGGAGCCGCTGCGAACCCGTGGATGAACCCAGCGCTGATGCAGGGGTTCTTCGGGGGTGGCGCAGGCGCAGGCGCGGGTGCGGCTGGATTTGGAGCGGGTCTTGGGGCGCCTGCTGCTCCGGCTGATACGAGACCTGCTGAAGAGAGGTTCCAGGTGCAGCTTGGGGTGTGTTTTCTCTTCTCTTTTCAAGGAGGTGCTGGCGCTGACGCACGTTGTAGCAATTGAACGAGATGGGCTTCTCGAACGCGGCACAGAACATTCGTGCGCTGCTTGCGACGGGGGG